CACTACAATTTTTGTTAACTACACAACAATTTAATTATAATAAATATCTCTAAACTTTTCTTATTTTTACACTTAAGTTCTCAACTTTTTAAAAAAACAAAAATCATCAACCCTCTATTAATTTTCACATCTTATCTATAAAGATAATTTTCGTCCAAAATATTTGTCATGAGGGCAAAAAGGACATATTTATTTCTCGTATTTTTAAATAATCGAAATAAATAACTAATACAAAAATTAAACAATTACCCATCTTTTCAATGCACATTAGTAGAATATTTGGATGAAAATTGTGATTAGATACAAAAATATGTTAATTAATTGAAATTTAAGAATGACGATGTGACGAGAAAAAGGTTGATGACATAAAAGCAAAAGTGAGCATATATTGTAAACCTTTCTTGTAATAAAAATGTGGTTCAAATATTTAAAAAAAAAAAAATTGTGTGAATATAATTACCCTTTTGTTTAACTAAACAGGTTTCGTAAAAAATTGTAATCCTAATTAAATTTCGAGGTGAGCACAATATGTTATGTTAGATTTATGAGTTTAACTTGGACTGCATCTTACCAGTTTTAAACTGACCAACTCAAAATGAATCTTGAAATGCATGAATCTGGCATAAGATTTAATTTTGAGGTGAGCAAAACTCCGTTATTGTTATATTGCTAGTATATGCATTTTAGCATTTATCTATAATATATTAAATATCACATCAAGTGTAAATAATTTTTTGACAATTCTAACCCTACTATAATTCAATTATTTCAATATCTTACTTTTTCGTTTTTCAATATGTATTTAATTTATTTAACCATTAGTCGTCGTCAATGTACATGTACATGTACATTTGACAGATTCATTTCGTCCATATGCTTACATTAATGTATTAATTCTTAATTAATTAACATTCGCATTCATTTAATTAATATTCATCTTCATTTATGCATTTCTGTGTTATTAATTCTAATTATAAGCTAATTATAGTTTCACATTCAATAATGTATTTTATTATTCACGTCCATGTATGCTAATTAACATCCAGTTTTGCTTAATTGAAAATTAAATAAATAATTTAACATTCATTGTCACGTATATATTTCTTAGTATTAATTCTAAATTAATTAACATTCACACATATTCAAATATTTTTTTACTACACGTATAAAGCATTTTATAATAACGTTCGATGCAATATAGAACGTGTCAATTTAATTTAATTATTTCATTACTTTTAATTTAATTTGTCGTCCTAGTATTTATTTTGTCTAACGGCATTTCTATCATTATTCGTCGTGGGGGGTTTTTTAAGGGATTGTCACTATTTTAAACTCTTTGAAGGGCTAGTTTTTTTTTTTTTTTTTTTTTTTTTGGTTGTTTTTTAATATAATAAAATACTTGGAGCCTTTTTCTCAATGATTGGCTGCTTTTCGATATTTGTGTGCAATTGTGACTGCGTGTTATTGCTCTACCTCATTTCTATCTACATAATTTAGTATCACAGCACAACCATATTCCTAGCAAAGACGGATTGCTCGTGAAGTCTTCTTGGATGAGATTCGATATTGTTAAGACACGATACAAACCTATCGACGAATCAATGTTTAGAGGAACATATGGAATTCAATAATGGATATTATTGGGTGTCATTGAAGGCGTTCAACATGAGGGAAGTAACTACAGAGATCAATACGGCACAATTGTGTGCACGGGTGGTATGACAACTAGTGATCTTTTTATCCCTTTTGATCCTAGTCAGGAATAAATGTTGATTTAGGTGATGATTACAATCGACAACCAATTTTTGACACTGCAGTCGAGTAGAAAGACATATTACCAGGTAAGGAGGTCAATTGTCCATCCATTTTCAACACAGAGAACGTGCTCAAAGAGACGCTAGAAAGAGATGTTGGATTGTTTTTTCTACTAATGGACTAGCATTTACATTTTGATTATTGGGCCCATAATGGGATGGGCCATCTTTAAATTAACACATATGGAGGTCCCTTACTCTCATCCCAATTATAATAGAATTGGCCCATTGATTTCTATTGAAGATAGAAAGGGAGAATTTCCAAAATAGTCGGGTCAAATGACCCATTTGGGTTTTTTATGTAAAAGTCAATTTTGCCCTTAATGAAATGATTTTTTATTGCAAACTAAGTCCTCAAACTTTGTAGTTTTTTTTTTTTTTTTAGAAACTAGTTTTATTCCTATTTTTATTCGTCATCACTAGATGTTTCTTCTAAATCCGATTTTTCTTCAAAAATTTCTTCATTAACTTCTATATCCTCAATATTAACCTCTTCACATTCATCTCTA